TTATTATTTTGCAGGTCATAGTTAGCCTTGAAAATGAGAATGATTCATGTCTGTCAACATATTTGGATAGAGCTCGTCGAGTAATTCGAAATTGTCATTTTTCAAAGTCGTTTCGTGGGTTCCAAAATAACATGTTGTGCGGTTGGGAATCGCGCACACTGTACCCTATTATCATTTTTCAATCCATATGTCGGTTTGATGGTCCTGATTATCAAAATCAAAATATCAAAGTCCAAATTAGTTTTCTTTCATAATGAAATCACAACCTTTTTTCCACACTTGAAACTGATTAATGAGTACTTGAATTTTAGAATGATAACCCGAAATCTGGAAAGGTCGTTTTTCAAATTATTTCGAAATATGCGTAAAACTATAAGTGCCTATTTCGGTTTCAAGGGCGAATCTTTCGAAATAAGCAAGGTTGATACCGGGGACATAATGAAAATATACTGTAACTCCGAACTAATATACTGCTGCTGATGGAATTGCAACTGGTTCAGTTTTTTATAAGAGCTTCATTTCATAGAGTAAAATAACCCCAGAGAAGTCCCAGCAAATCGTAGTAGATTTTTTTGATTGATGACAAAGTTTCCATTATAGAATTAGTATCGCCATGGTCCTTTTCAATAAAAAAAGTAGTTTATCGAGCTCAAAACCTCTCGAAATCTTCAAAAGCAAACTAAACTTCTCTGGAGAGGTAAAATACTTTGGTACTACTCTCGGCAGGAAGCTAACATGGCACTCTCACCTACAGGGAAGATCAAAAATAGCATATGTGGCTTATAAGCAATGTCGGAGGTTAGTGGGACGCACATGGGGTCTTTCACCCTGTGTGGTCACCTGGATCTACACTGCAATAATAAAACCTACGATAACGTAAAGGTAATCGCATTGTCGACTCTTTATCCAAAGAAACAGCTGGACTAAGTATTTTAGGACCCAGTCATACGGCCTGATGACTTCGACAATTACGGAACTAGGCAAACGGCTCGTCTTGGCCTACACCTGCCGATATAAAGGAGATGTCCATCTTCCTGGAAAGGACAGGATGTACGATGACCTAGGAGGACATCTCCTCGGGATGATGAACAATAGGTCACATGTGGCCTAAGTGCTGAGGGCCTACACTCACCTTCCCTACTCTACAGATACAGAGAGTATCGCCATTCAAAGATGTACCTGATGCCACATCAGTATTGGGTACTCTTCCGTTTACTCAAAAATTCATGAACCCACAAATCAAATAAAAATTTCCTCATAGACTTATAGAGATTTATAGAGTTNATCAAACACGAGATGGTTACTGAAATATTTAAAAAAGGATCAATACATGAAAGATTTCGATCGTAGTATTTCTTGTGATACACTGTTTGGAACCTTTGGTGTAGTAATGAATATTACTGGAGTTTTTTCCCAACACCAAATCGTTATTTTTACACCTCGACACGTGTTTCGATCACCAAGTGATCATCTTCAAGAGGAAGATTAAACTAAATATACTTACAATGTTATCCTTATTTATACCATAGATACCTCTTCTAGGTCTTGTACACTAGTAGATAAATTAATTCAAGACACTTAAAACGCAGGTACCTAGAAGAGGTGTCTATGGTATAAATAAGGATGAGATAAGGATGAGTTTAATCTTCTTGTGATCGAAACATGTATCAAAGTGTTAAAATAACGGTTTGGTGTTAGAAAAAATATCCAGTAATATTCAGTAGCATTTATAGTATGGAGGATAAATCTGTTCTATTAATAATAAGCAAATAAATAGATTGATTGATTGATTGAAAGCGTTCGCAGAAGTTATCAAGGAATGGTGGTCAGAAGATTCATCAACACACTCAGAAGTTCCTTTCGTTATCTTTTAGAAAGTTTACATTAGGACGTTGATATAATTAATGACAAACCTAAACCACAAAACAGATGTTTGAACGTGGTTGACATTGTTTCGTGGTGTATTTCATCAGTTCGGACTTCCATTGTCTAATATAATATGAATTGATTTGATAACCCTGAAAGAAATCAAAAAGATTAACCGAAAATAACAATTTTATTAAAGAAAAAACTGAAATTATTGGTGAAGAGGACCAACACTAAATGGAAGCTGAAAAGAGAAGCTGAAGAAACCTATGTCTGTACGACAAAAGAAAGAAAAATAGAAGAATGGAAACTTCTATAAATATAGCCAAGCTACAAGCAGTCGACAGAGACTTGTCTCTGTCGCCGAAACCCAAAAAAAAACATAATAGACGTCAACCCAGATAGAATAAAGATTCAGGGATTTAAATTATTCAAAACTCGACACAACCAAGATAACCACGGAATAAGCCAAGTTATCACCCGAAGACGATTGTTCAAAAATGCATCATTAATATGGAAACAGCTAATTTCATATAAACATTGAAATACACGAAAGAAAACTGCTTTGGAAAAAAATACTTTTATTTGAACACTGAACTATACAATAAACACTTCTTCCTTTTCCGTTTTGTACTCAAGACATTCGTCATGGAATTCAATAAGATATCATTCACAGGATTACTACACAATATAGAACATGAAAGAGGTAAAATTTCACTTATATGAAAGACCCACGATTGTTTTATCGTGAGTATGAATACTTGATATACAACTCTTGTGAAACGTAGGATAAGAAAAATAACTGGCAAGATGTAGGTACTGTAGACAGGACAAGATTTATTCTGATTGTACTTTTATAAGGTTTAAAACGTAATGAATTGATTTTACAAATTAAATGCTACACCTAGGTAGTTAGAGAGGGTGTTTAGCTTGGTCATTTTAGGTAGAGAAAGAGGTTCAGATTAACATAGGTAAGAAAAGGTCATAATAGCCGGTAAGTCCCAAGATAAGGGGTACAAAGAACAATAAAGGAATTGAAAATCTAGCTATTTGTAGCTTATAATTTTCATATGGAAATAGACCTAAATATACGGGTTGCTTAGGTAAAGATATTCAGGATATTTTATGAGGATAAGCGGATTAGAAAGACCCATACATTAGAAGACCAATTGGAAAACCAGGATTGGGAGAATAATGAAAAACTAAATAATTTAAACAAGATCAGTCAACAATACCTAAAAAACTCTAGGCTAAAACTCTAGGCTGAATACTAAAAACTTAAGATTCACAATTTACTTTTAAAAAATGATAATTTTGATAGCAATATTTTGAGACCGAACAAGTGGAAAGCCAAAATATTTCTTTCCCAAAAAAGTAGTCTCCCCTTTCAATTTGAACGAGATTCCTATGGCTGGAATTTAATCAAATTAGGGGATGAATGTAATTACGTACTGTCATCGATGACATGAGTAGATTAAATTCATTAGTGGGATAAAATCGTGATTTTATGAATGAATTGAGTGTTTTTTCTATAAAGTTGTCCAGATTCGGTACTGGAAAGCCGATAAGGCAAGTGTTTCACGGCGAAACATCAGACGTCCACCAGTGAGGAAGACAGTGTTCCATTTAAGTGAAATTTACCTCTTTCATTCACTATATTGTGTAGCAATCCTGTGAATTATGTCTGAATTAATTCCATAACGAATGTTTGGAATACAAACTGAATAAAGGAAAGTGTTTTTGAAAAATTCAGTGTTCATATAAAAGTGTTTGTTTCTTAAGTTTTTTTTTTCGTGTAATCACCATCAGAACTTGATTAAATTGTCACATTCCGCAATCATCCGTATAGAAAGAATCCTGAATATAATGCCCTTTTATAAGACTCTATTGCATGTTGTATGATAAAGAATACCTAATTACGACAATCTGCGAAAATGTATATCCATAATCACGAAAATGAAGTTGATGCACGCACGTTAAATTTGAATCGAATGATGAACTAACAAGTTTTTTGCATTAAAAACGTCATGCCATTGAACAAACCTCACCAGATCTTTACTGTCCCTTTAGTTACTACAACAAAATGTACATATTCACACTGTTACTAATTTTTATCTTCGGGGCAGATACAAAAATTGAAATACTGTCCGAAAGTGAAATTCAATCAACGATTTCCCTTAGTCGTTGTTTGTTAGAAGCCAGTAAGATATATTTTTCACATCTAACATTTATTTTACCACGAGAGGAAACGCAACAAATTTTGAACCCGATGCCGCTGAATAACTTACTTTTGTCATCACTTGGAATTGACCAGAATGTCACTTATTTTGTACGTAATCTAGATGAGGAAAGTGCCACAGAATTAACGAATATGGAAACCCAAAACTGCATAATACAAATCAGAGACATGGACGGATTTGAGGATATTATAATCAAGCTGACAAGAGCAACTCACTGGAAGTCAAACTCCAAACTTTTGGTCATTTCGAAAATCGGAGTCCAAGACCCTCAGACACTAGCAGAAAAAATTCTGAAAATTTTGCAGGAAAAGGAGATCATGAACTGCGTTATTCTGCTGCCTGATCTTGCCATCCCAACGAATTATACTGTCTATGGTCCATTTTCATCGAACGAAGCACGTTGTGGAGGCGTATATAAACCACTTGTTATAGACTCCTGTTCGTATGGCACCTTCACAGGTAATCAGTTTTGGTTCTTGGAAAGGGGAGAGGAACGTATGAAGGGATGTGAGATAAAAGTGAATTATTTGAACTGGGCTCCTTATGCTATGAACGTGGAAGACAGTTATCAACGTTCGTCTTATTGGATCAACCAGGGCCTCGAAGTTAACCTGCTCAATATGCTAGGGACATTACTCGATTTCAAAATCGTTTACAGCCGTTCCACTACTTGGGGTAATGTACTGGAGAACGGTAGCACCACGGGGGATTTCACTCTTTTAAAAAATAAAACAGCGGATATTCTGATTGGAGCCTACTCAATAACTTACAGTAGAAGTCTTTATCTAGAAACAAGTGTCTCCTATATCCTCGAAGGACTTCAGTGGTGTGTGCCACATGCACCTATCTGGGATGGTATAAAATTAGGTCAACCGGTGGTTTGGCTTCTGATTGTCCTTATTTACATCACGCTCGTTATTCCATTATGGTTGGTCAGCAGAAGAAACTCTGCTGAATTAGCTTCTTACAAGAACTTAGCATCCACTTTAATAGTTACTTTCGGGGTGATACTGGGAATTTCTCCAAAGGATCTCCCAAAAACCAGAAAGTCCAAGTACTTCATGACACTGTTGATTTTTTTGGGTTACTATGCTAGCACTCTCTATACTAGCGTATTAACAAGTGAGGTTATGCGTCCAGGTTTCGAGGAAAAATACTCGTCCATGAAGGATATCTACAATCACAATTTGAGCACTTACTTCGCAATTAACACTCTGAGATACTTTGAGGGAAACATGATAAATGGAGTTCCCAAGAGTGTTATCGAAAGCAAGGCAATATACTGTCACAATATTACCATGTGTTTGGATAGCGTTGCATCTGGAGTGTCTGCCTATTTATGTCCCACACACCCATCTACTTTTATACAGAAGCGAGTAATTCGAGGTAAAAGGATGCACTGCTTCGCGTATAGCAGCGTTGGCGTTCCCATTGCGATGATGATGCGGAAAGGGTTTCCCTTCAAGGACTCTTTCAATACTCTTATACACCGTATTCTAAGCGCCGGATTTCTGGTAAAATGGGAGAGGGACATACTACAGTCTTTCGATGAAGGCGGGGATAGAACAAATGGTGTGAAGATGGAAAACTTGAGAGAAATTTTCAACATGATGGTTTTGGGTCATTTGGTGTCATGCGGTGTGTTCATCATTGAAATTCATTTTTGTGTGAACAAAAGAAATAAAATAAATATAAAGTAATATGAGTGTCGAAATATATTTTCACTGAACTTATTACCTCTTGGTGCTCCACTCACTCAATCGACCGTCGAGTGAATCGGTGGTTCAAGCCACAGGCCGAACGATCGATTTATACTTTCACTAGTTCGGACTTCCATTCATCACGAAACATTGTCAATCACCTTCAAACAAACGATTTATACTTGCTATCGTCCAACCCATATTAGGAATTGTAAGTCCTTAGCTCGCACTAGTTTTGACTTTTGAGAGTTAATAGATGGGTTGGATATTTACAATTCATTTACATTGACAGAAGAGGAAAGGACATCCTTGAAAGAAATAAGGAAGAAATTTGAAGAACATTGCTCCCCTCAAAAAAATGTAATATATGAGAGGTTTATATTCAACTCGATTTCAAAGTCAGACCTGTAGAAGAAATCTCTTTGAAATGTAGTATAAAATATATTTGTGTATATTTATCATTTTTAGTGGTAGATAGTAAAAATCAGATGCCTTCGTTAGGGTTTAAAGGATGTTTATTAGCACTAAACTTGAATAGGAGAATTGACAGTTGTATACCGACTCTTAATAGGGTTAATGATGTAGTTAGGTTGTATTCTCAAGTTTTTTCCGAATAAGCTTGTTTTCCAAATGAGCATCGAATCATTTAAAAAAAAGAGTGTACCACATGTTCAATTTAATAATGAATCCACAGCTGTACCTATTATTAGATATAAGGTTTCTGGGCGTACTATCAAAAAACAACATATTAGATTTATAAGTCAGATTAAGATATTAATCCTGGCTATTAATGTTACAAGTGTTGAAAGACTAAACAATTATATGCCTTGAGGAGATTCAATAAAACCAAGAATGTCGGCCCCCTGCTTTTGTTTGGCCAATATTTATGATTTATTAGTGTGGCAAACCGATATCTTGAGGTACGAGAGAAAGGAGGGCATCATCCCACCAACTACTTCAATTATCTGATAGAGTATGAAAGGAAAACCTCAATATGTCTAGTGTCCCACCGAAACTGGTTTTTACGACCGAAACCGAATCTCGGCAAAGGTCTCAGTTCGGGCCGAAACCAAAACTTCCTTACAAGGATTATGTTTTAAGGGAAAAATAAAGAAAACGTTTTATAATCAGTAAGTCTCTATTTTTTATCATTAAAGCACAACGTTATGTAGTCTTCGACATTTTTACTTATTGATAATCAACAAATTAACATAACAACCCCTTATTTAAGAAAAAATAGTGATTGCACCTTAAAAATACTTGAAGTAGGTGAGGAGTTTATTTGAGTAGGTGTAGATTCTTGTTTTGAATATTATTAATGGTTTTTCAAAAATATTTAACATAAAACTAGTTATTCAAGTTGTTACCTAATATCACAATGGGTACTCAATATTTATGTAATACACAAAGTAAATCACAAAGTAAGTCAGGACATGATTAGGCACGTGGACGCGGCAAAATGTCTTCGTCGCTTGTATGAAATTCAACGGGCTGAACATGACCGATCACAGCGCGAGAACTCCCGAATGCAGTTCAGTTTCGATAGGTTTGCAACCGAAACCCGTTTTTTTGACGAAATTCGACCGAAACCGAACTTTCGGTCGGACACTAAATATGTCATATGTTTTCCTCCTCTTTTCGGGCAATATTCGTCCCACCTAGAGCTGCAGAGTGTCAGATGTCAAATTCAATATTCAAAACAAACTTTTCAATATTTACTCTAACATCAATTAGAATCGGATATGTGTATAGGTACAATAATTTCCCAGCTTTATTCTGTACACCCTTAAAACGTATTTGGTAAAACGTTTTCAGCATGAAGAATAAACTAACCACTGACGTAACGTAACGTCAAATTCCGTTTCAAAACCAAAACCCCTCGTATACGACATTTCGTCGATAACGGTCGGTGGTGAGAAGAAACGAGTGAGTCACTTGAACTACAAATAATTTCTATTTAGATCTATGGCCTATAAACTAACTGTATAGTGATTTTTTTGTTGCATGAATTTATTTTCGATCAAAATAATAATTTCATTATAATCTCAAAACTTTTTCTCTCTCATATCCGAAAACTTGATCAGTCTCCAATCTAAATGGAAATAAAAATTACATTCAATTCGAAATATTTCTAAGACACTTATGATCGAATAGATAAATCAGGGTTCATACTTCAGTTTGAATATCTATTTAATTTCTTCACCTTCATTTTAAACATCTGCAGAAATAAATGACATGCCAGTTCATATTTAGCGCTGTTTTCTTCCACTGACATCACAAACATGACGGCCAAAGTCGTTATTATTTTCTGGCACCCCTTTTATATATGAACCCAAAGTCGTTCTTGATTGGTGTTTGTTTTGGTATCATTAACGGTTGACGAAAAATCGACACAATTTGTGGAGTGGTTATGTTTCTGATTTGAGTATAACTTTGTTTTTTTGTATTGAAATGTGGAATGCACCAATAGAAAAATCAATCGGATTCATCGGTTGATTCATCGATTAATTTCAGAACTCGCCTTTTGGTTCACAACATTTTCAGGAAATCATGTTCCGAATTCCGAATATTATCACTTTTTCATGGATATGATAACAGTGGTTAGTTTTGAAGCGCATAACCAAGAGAGTGTTCTGTGATACTTGAGTAATGAAATTTTGTGATACTGACCAAGATTTCGAATTAGTTTCTGAATGTTGTGCATCTTAGTTTCAGATCATACCGTTTGTCGCTTTTACACCATTGTTTTGGCCTGTACAATATAACTGGCTTAATTATAGCTTGCCGTGCTTGACAAGTCCCATTGTGGATGGGTCCGCTCCAGGTCCACTTAAGTGTGGCCACATTTGGATTTAACAACAAAGTTCGTTACCAACTGGCCGGATAGCCTTAGTTGCTGAGGCCATTGAGATGACAAAAAGAAGAAGAAGTCGCTTTTACTTTTGTTTACGCTGTTTACTTAGGCAAGAAGTTTTATTGATGTGAGTGAAAAAGCATGAAATAAAAATGCTTGTTAGCCGTGTAAAAACATACCTAAGTGTTTTTTCAATACTTTGACTGGCTCATCGAGTAGTTTTTTTGTCCTAAGCGCCGTAATACATATTTAATCGTAAACTAATTCATCACGTTCTACCCACAATGTACACTAGGGCTACATACAACAACACCCGAGCAGGTCCAAGCCGGCATTCATTTTCTTTGGATAATGTCGGTCCTAATCCATATTTTTTCGATTATCCACGTCAAAATTTTGGCCTCCATTCTGGACAATCAGATCGCACACGTGAATACAATCAAAATAGGCATCAAAGTTTGACAGATACTTTTCCTGATATGTCCAGTCAAATTCGTTCCTATTCAAACCAACGATTTGGCCCAGATAACCCTCAAAACCGTCGATACCAGAGAGGCTCAAATCATCAAGATCGGAAACGGGAGCATAATCATTATGAAAACCGTGAAAGAGCAAACCATAATCGTAAGAATCAGGAACCGATATCTCCAGATATACGTTTACGAGCTGACTCACAGAACAGCAGAAAAAAGATGACGCTTCACTCTCCTAGTATGAATAATAATGTGTACATTTGTCCCGGCTGCTCATCTCCATTCGACTGCCTTGGTAAGTATAAATAAATTCCTAATTGAAACCAATTAAAAAACATGTTTCAAAAGTATTTATTTCGTGTAATTCCATGTTTATATGAAAGTACTTGTTTTGGAGAGGGCTTTTTCTTCTAGTTTGTGCATGATCTGCGCATCTTTGTGAAGAGTTTATTCTGAAAAGCATTGCTTTCTTTCTTCCTCTGGGAAGGTTCCCACATTTTTTTCTATAAAAATGGAGAAGTGGAAAGCCCAAACCTTTTCCAAAAGTTAATCTCTCCTAAGGATAAACCTCTTTAAATTCAAATAATGTTATTATTTCTTTCAGCTAGATGTAATCAGTACGTGGGAAATGTTCCCCTCGTCCTTAACTGCAGACACACAGTTTGTCAAGAATGCATATACAAGTCTGTGTTGAAAAGCTCCATTGTATGCCCGGTATGTAGAAACCCATCGGTATTATCAAATGGTTGTCTCGATAACATACAAGAAGAATTCTCTCCCAACTTTTACTTGCTTGGTCTGATATTGTGGACGAAAACAATAGGAAATAATGTGAACCGCATGATGCTTGTCCCCGTTGAACCAGTGCATAGTCACAAAAAATCTGTGGAACAGATTATAGAAACAGCCAGTGAATCGATAGGTAAATCAATCTATGTTTAAATTTTATTAATCGGTTTATTTTTATTTAGTAAATATAGGACATTTCTAATACATTTTTCTGTCAGTTCATGAAATCGAATGATTTGCTTTGAGCAGACCTGTAATTTTGTTTTAATTTATTTTCAAAAATGACAGAGATATAGAATTTGTCACGAAAATAAATTTCTAGTTGCAGTGTTCTTGGACTTCAAACGAGATCTCAAAACAATTGATGTCAATACCATGTTGATTAAACTGCAGTATTATGGAATACATGGGACAGTTCTAAAATGGTTTTATAATTACCTGAATAGAATAGAATAGTTTATTGGTGCTGTTTAACATAAAGTTTCACACAAGTCAAAATGAATATAAATAAAATAAACTAAAATTACAATGTATAAAACACACTTATATAATTTACATGCTAAAATCTTTTGTTATCTGAAAATTTGATGCCATTATTATAGTTATTTCTGAATTTTTTGTTGTACATTTCTTTTTTGAAATCGTATCTATACACAGCAACACCTCTAGGCCAGAATGTATTTGTATAAGCCATTTCTTTTACACTGTAGTCCATACCGATTTTAAATCACCTGAAAGGTCGATCTCAAATAACTAAGGTGAATGATGTGATTTCCAGTAAAAAAATATATATTTTCTTATAATTTTCTTATAATTAAACTTGCAGGCCTAGGTTTCCCAAATAATCTATTGAACTGGGTGAAATCATATATGGAAAACCGTAGTCTAATAGTTAGCTGCAATGGATTTTTATCAAGTCCCAAAGATGTAAAACTAGGAGTGCCTCAAGGTTCTGTCCTGGGGCCATTGTTGTTCCTCAATTTCATAAATGACCTGTCTGAATTCTTTTCTGAGTGTCACATAACCATGTTTGCGGATGACACTGCAATTACTGTGGCCGACAAAAACGAAGTTGAGTTGTCAGACAAAATAAATAAAATAATAGATAAATTCAGTGCTTGGTGTCAACGTAACAAACTTATTCTGAATAAATCTAAATCTGTTTCAATGAAATCATTTATTAGGAAAAATTTCAGCAGTGACTCTTCCACAATAAATGGTATTCGATCTTCCAGCGAAGTCTTGTTTTTAGGAACGTCTTTAGACAAAAATTTGACCTGGAGCGGTCATATTCAGAAGGTCTGCAACAAACTTAATTCCGCATATTACTCAATCAAACAATTGAAAAACACTCTAGATAATTTTGGATTGATGAATGTCTATTTTTCTATGGCTTATTCTCACATCAGCTTTAATATCATTTCTTGGGGATGTGCAAGGGAATTTCCACGAGTTTTTGTTGCTCAGAAAAGATTGCTGAGACTAATTTTTAATATAGATCTTCAAGATAGTTGTAGACCAATTTTCTTAAGAGAGGGCCTATTGACGGCACCTTCTTTATTTATCTTGAAGTGTGTGACTTTTGCCCGTAACAATATAACTGAATTTGTCACAAATGCGGATATACATGGTAGAGACACCCGTCATGGGAAACTGTTAAGAACCCCCTCACACAAAACGGCTCACTTTAGATGCTCCCCACTATTTAATACAACAAACTGTTATAATAACTTGCCGGCATCTATTAGGAAAATCGAGTCAGATAAACTTTTTAAAATTGAGGTGAAGAAACTTCTCTTACAGAAGTGTTACTACAGTCTTGAGGAATTCTTGCACGACACTTTTTCATGACATTTTGAGAGTATTTGCTAGAGCTTCTCCGATTTTTTATATAATACTTCTATGTTGTGAAAGTTTGTGGACGTGAACCATATTTATTGTTTTTGTATTGTTCAACTTCTGTAGTTTTATTTTTGTTTTTTATTTATGACTTAGCACATGTACTCAATGTACCAAAGTGTCAAATAAATAAATAAATATAAACACTGGCGTTTGTCCATGACAGTGTACTAGTACCCTTGCTATTCATTGACACTGACTACACTGAACAATAATCAATTAAAGTAGCATTCAAGTATTACTTTACTACTCAACTTTATTTCACTTCAAATACAACAAATACTTCAACTATTAGTCCAATATCTATTGTCTTACTAGATCGCTTCGCTTACTGCGCTGTAACTTCCACTTGACTGTCTTGATGGGCTAGTGGATGGTGCTTATATTTAGCAGTCAAAGGCCCTGGAACATTGCTCGGAATTCCATCGAAGACGGTGGTAGGTATTATTCTTGCTACATTTAGGGCGGCAGTGAACATCTTACATTCGCACGCTCATACCTACATCACAATTGGTTCTGGCTATCAGTGGCGCCGGCGTTATTTTCTTCAGGGCATGATTTATAACAATACATATGAGTGTCCTCATTTCTCACTAGTTTACATGTTGTATTTGAATGAGCATGACGCATTTTTTTTGAGATACAATTGACCTTTCAAAGTGACAAGATGACCCTCAAAAGATCACGTCATATTGCATAGTAGACTTAACCATCCCAAAATATAATAGTCTCAAGATGTCTGCTGATACCGTACCTCGCATATTTTTTATTATATAGCATGTAGTACTTATATTCGAACATACAGTGCAACGATCAAGGTGGATTCAGAAAGAGTAAATCAATTGAAACTGCAACATATCGCTTACTGAATTATATCTACAAAGAAGTGGATTCAAATAATTTTGTAATGTCTTTATTTTTTGATCTAACAAAAGCGTTTGACACAGTGTCTCCTGAAATTCTAATTGCAAAACTAACCCAAATTAGTTTCCTGAATAACTTGTTGAAATGGATTTAATCGTACCTCAAAGGGCGTACCATGACTGTAAAATGTGAAAATGTTAGATCAAGGTGCAACGACAATAAGCTTGGAGTGCCACAGGGGTCAGTGATTGGACCATTGCTTTTTTTGTTTTATGCAGATGATTTGTCAGAATATCTGAAAGATTGCTACCTTACCTTGTTTGCGGATGATACTACTATCACAGTTACAGGGGGAAATATTGATGTACTGCCTCAGTAAGGTAAAATGCATAATCGATGGTTTTAGCTACTGGTCTCAGCGAAACAGATTATTATTAAACGCCTCAAAAACTGTAATAGTAAATTTCTATAATAGTAAAACTAATGTTCCAGATGACCTACAAGTTATTCATGAAATAAAAGATGTCTGCAACAAACTAAACTAGACATTCTTTGCTTTAAGGCAAATGGAATCGTGCACGGACACAGTAGGTCTACTAGAAATCTATTTTGCTATGGCATATTCACATATATCGCTCAATATCATAGCATGGGGTTGCAGTAATGAATTCATCAGAGTATTCGTAGCACTAATTTTTAGCATTGAACACCGAGACAGTTGTAAACCAGTATTTGTTAGGGAAAAATTATTTTCGGCTCCCTCCATATACATTCTTAAATGTATAGGATTTGCTAGATCTAACATCCATGAACTAGAAACAAATGCAACAGTGCAGTTACAACACACGTCATGGGGATATTTTGTGTATTCCAAGTCATAAGACAACAAAATATAATGCCATAAATCTGTATAATAAATTACCAGAGCAGATCCAACAAATTACCTCTGATAAAGTGTTTCATGGTAGAGTAAAGCAATTGCTGCTGTAAAAATGTTACTATAGTTGTGGTGAATTCCTGGAAAATGATTTCCGATGAGCACTGATTTTACTTATTTTTTTCTGTTACTGTTATTTAGTCTTATATTTGACGCCTGTTCCATATTTTTACTGAGGAATTTATATACACGACTTTTACATATACATATATGATAAATACCTACCTATTTCATTTGTATCCCACTGTTACTATATTCTATACATGTTTAAAATTATTGACATACCATATGTACATACTGTACCACAGTGGCAAATAAATGAAATGAATAAATAAATATGTCTGCTTCTCATGTTAACTTATTATCTAAAATAACACATAAGAATTTGATGGTTTCCATAGATTGTACAGATTTACCAGATAAAGTTAAGTATAAGTTTTAAGTATAGGTTTAAATTTATGTTTTTTAGCAAAAATTGTTTTTTTTTCCATTCAGGCTGAGACCATTTTCAAGGCTATATCTTTCTTTCAAGGTTTTGGGACCAGTTCTATACTTGATTTATGTGATTGATTTCAAAACTGAAGATGACTCTGAGATTACGCAATTTGCTGATGACACGTCATTAACGCTCCAAAACACAAATTTCTATTGTATTTTTTTATGGCGAATAAAGGATATTCTATTCTATTCTTCCATTCTATTCCTTTTGATACCCGATTTTGACTGTCTTTAACAACTATGAGAGATCTGCCACTTGAAAAACTCACTTTTTTATGCTATAATTTCAAAATTGTTTTTCAGAAAAATGTTGTTTCCTCTCTTGCAATCGCAATGCAACTCTGCATTGCGTAGACTGTAACGACATTTACTGTCCAGACTGTTGTTCTGTGGTCCATAAGAGTGCAAAATCTCTGTGGAATCATAAGCAGACTCCCATTCGGGTAGAAAAAGGAACTGTAGACTTGGAAAAATGCAGTGAGCACAATATGGACGTTGAGTTCTTTTGCAAAACATGCGAAATAGGAGCTTGCTGCTACTGCTTCCTCGAAAAACACGAAGGTCATGAAAAGGATCATTTATCTAGATTGGTAGGTGACCTGTCACAATCCCAAGTTTTTTTGAAAAAAATTAATGCAGATTCATTTTTCAGAACGATGTGGAAATGGCTAGGCTGAAGTCTTACAAGGATAAAGCTGCAAAGATCCTGAAACAGCTCATAATCACTCAGAAGGTTAACATTTATGATATTTAACTAATTAGGTTTATATCTTTACTAATTCTCTTGAAGAATTTTTCATTGATATTCGAATCTGTTTCTGGGTGTGTGAAAGTTATTTGCAGTTCTAGTAGCAGTTAAATTTTTACTGTAATTTATTGTTTTGTGCATTTTATTGTTTTCTATCATAATTATTTTTCTATTTTGTTATTTTTGGTAGGTTGTATTTATTATTTGTTAGAGTTTCGAACATCCATTATCTATTCCATATTTGGAATCAAAGAGAAGATAATTTGATATAATATTTAAAAAACAGCGAGTTCTGATATGTTCAGATGAAATTATTCATATATTTCCCTCTGATATGAGGAATGAGTAAGAGTGGTTGTAAAAACTTTTCTTTGTAAGAGCTCTTGTTATCTTCTGGCCAAACTGTCCATTAGTTCTTTGAAGATTGACAAGGTCCAGTTTCTTGTTGGTATTTCTCTTCGTGTTTCAGAGAGATTAAATGCCGAGAGATACCATCATTTTGCTTATTTTACTGAAAAATGTACTGCTAAAAGAATTTTGCATTTCAAAATTATAACTTTTATGTTTCTAAGCTGATATGTAATTATTATTTCTAGGGTACTTGCAGAATCGTCCTGTGAATATCAAATATTTAGAAAAAAAATCCTTTATAATAACAATCTGTCCCCTCCTTTTTTAGACGATGGAAAGTGAACCTCTAAATTTTATATGTACTCTAATATGGCATCTTGTTATTAATAGTAGTTATATGCTTCTCTTAACATTGTTTTAGTGAATGCAGATACAACTTGTTCGGAATCATAATCATTTAATAGCAGAACTCAAAGGATTGTCATGATTCTCATGTAACTTCACTTTCAAAATTGTTTCTGGATTCACTGATTTGTCAAGTTCATTTGAACCAAACATTGAAAAAAAAATAGATAGTAAATTGTTGAATATAAGAATATGCAAGTTACAGATGAATATTATAATTTTCAGAGGTTGAAGAATCTGAATAATTACAGTACTTCAGTTGTCGAGAAAAAAATCTCCAACTATTTCTTGAACTATCATGCAAAACTTCACTTTCTCGAAAAGAATCTCAGGAAAGAAGCATCTTCTGGACACAAAACTCTCGGATCTACAAAAGGTCTAGAAGACATCAACAGGAACATGAACGCTTCAATCAATACATTGAAAAATATCCTGGCCACCTGCGATCTCGTAGATATTAAAAAACTCAATCTGAAAGAGGTTCTAAATAAACTCGGGAAAGTTATCAATACCCCTTGTTATTTGATTAACGAAAACTGCAAAGGATTAGATCCCATCGAGTGAGTAATCAATCGTAATTATTTTACCGTAAAGTGAAACGTTGAAATTTTCTCCAAATGAATTTCAATTTTGTGATAAATTCAACGTATACTTATCTTGGAACTTTTGAAGCGATTAATTACTTATTTCTTGCATTGTCTCTAGTGTTTCTCTGATGGTTTCAGATTTGAAGTTGATCCTCAGGCTGAGAATTTCGAAGAATTCTTCAGGATTAAGAAGAATGAAGAATTTAACTATTCCCTGGTCACTGAAGAAGACTTACCTGAGGATTACGAGAGAGATTCTCTTGAAGCACAGTACGAGAGTGATGCCGAAAGTTTCATGAGTACTTTAAGTGAGTATTTTCTCATTGATGCGAAGGCAAAATTCATGTCTCAGTCTGAGTTGTAAGAAGTTTTTGACTCATATCAGGCTAAAATTGATAACCTCTATTTCAAATTTTCTATTTGTTCATATTTTTATTTGAGAATATACATATAGTTTGGACTTGAATTAAAAGGGGCAAATGTGAAGTACACAGTGAGCCAAATTTCCTGTTTCTATGACATTTTCAAAGCACTTTTATACGTAGAGAAAATCGAAATGTCTACCAGCTTGTCCTAGACACAGGAGACATCTTTCATGAACTTTTTTTGACAAATTAATTAGTTCAATAAGCGTTAGAGAAGCAAAAGTTTGCATCACTGCCAATTCGTATGTGGAATTGGTCGGCAATTCAATAATAAAAGCTTTCAACCTTCCCCAGAGGTAAAAGTCCATAGGCGTTAGGTCCAGTGACCTAGCCGGCCAACGGTTGAGTACTTGGTTGGCTATCAAATTACTACCAGAATTTGCATCCAAAAAATTGGTGACAATTGCAGTGTTGTGAGGCGAAGCCTCGTCTTGTTGAAAATATATTTTTGTGAGCTCCATTTGTAGCAGTTCATCAACAAGGGGTTTGATATTTTACTTTAAAATGTCTTAATACCTCTGAGATGTGAGGGTCCCATTATAAATGGCATCCACACAATTTAACGAAAAATCACGTACTTGGTTACAACTTTCCAAGAACCACTGGCAAAAAGCCATGCGGTGTTAAAAATCTCCTGGTCTGAGTTCTGATCCTGTATGGCTTGAATTTTTGTTTTTTCAAAATGTTTTGTCTGTGTAATTCATATTGAACATTGTTTTCAATATACGTTTCTGCATTATGAAAATACGTTATACCATTGAATTCTACGTGCTTTGGAAATAGCTTCATAAAAAAGAGAAATTTTTGACAGGAAAAACGTTACAGCAACTTTTCGAAAATGCACATTTGTCAAAAACATTTTGTAACTCAGAAACAATGATATATAGTGACATGCGGTTTTCACTATTGAGTTTTTCATATAGAGTTTATTTGGAAATATTGCCAAATTTTATATTATGAAGAACAGCAAAGGCTGAAGAAACTCGTCGCCCCAAAAAGAAGTCTCCACCATCCTTAAAGCAGATAATAGGTAAATCTAATCGATTAGGTAATATCTTCTTTTTTATACTTTTGCTTGATTAGTGCTTTTTGGCTTTTTATTTTTTAAATAATTCCACATTAAACAGGTAATCATTTGAATATTCAAATAGATATCGAGAAGGTCGAAGTAACGCACATAGAGTCTCTAGAATGCTTTTACGTTCAACTGAAGAAGACCCAGTCCAGGTTCTTGCAGATGAATCAAGATATCGACAACTACATCAAAATGGGCGCCGCTACTGTTGATCAGCCGCAATTGAACGAACTCTACTTGGCGCTGTACGTTGTTTCGAAGAAAGAAAAGGTTTGGTGCAGGGGGCGGGTGACCGAAATCAAAAACGGGGAGGCGGAGCCGCTTTACGAGGTGTTTTTCATCGACTATGGCTCCACTCAAACACTCGATATCAACAAGTAATTATAGACTGTAATTAAAATTGTCACTTTGGCTGATCATCTTTTTGTTACTAGACTTCGAGTGATAACGCCCAGCATCGCCTCGAGAAAGGCCTATGCCATCCAGTGTGAACTTCAGAATCCTAGCGAAGTGAATTGGTCCAAAAATGCACATGTTCACATGGGGAAAATCATCAACGGGTACGTTTTATGCAATACATGCGTGAGCTAGTCGAAAAATAAGATGAATGTTCAAATTTTGCGGGCTACGTGTTATTTATTGGATTTATTTTTTTTATTTTATTGTTTTTTGGATTAGTGATTTGTAATTTTTTTTTATGTTGGTACTTTCCTCCGAAATGTACTTTCTCTTGCCTCTGATTCAAATATTTTTCCATGCTTCATAATTTCAGATATTATTTCTTATTCCTTATCTTTCAAATTCTGCTTATATTTGTAATGTAGACAATCATAGGCTTTAGATAGCTTAAAAAAATATTTAGTAACCGGAGAACTATCAAAGTAATTTTTCGGGTTTGTAGCTGAAAAAGCATGGGGTTGCAGTAATGAATTCATCAGAGTATTCGTAGCACAAAAGCGCATTGTTAGACTAATTTTCAGCATTGAACACCGAGACAGCTGTAAACCAGTATTCGTTAGGGAAAAATTATTACCGGCTCCCTCCATATACATTCTTGAATGAATAGGATTTGCTAGATCTAACATCCATGAACTAGAAACAAACGCAACGGTGCACAGTTACAACACACGTCATGGTGATGTTTTGCGTATTCCAAGTCATAAGTCAACGAAATATAAAAAGTCCCCTTTGTATAATGCCATAAATCTGTATAATAAATTACCAGAGCAGATCAAACAAATTACCTCTGATAAAGTGTTTCATGGTAGAGTAAAGCAATTGCTGCTGCAAAAATGTTACTATAGTTGTGATGAATTCCTGGAAGATGATTTCCGTTGAGCAATGATTTTACTTATTTTTTTCCTCTTACTATTATTTAGTGTTATCTTCGACGCCTGTTCCATATTTTTACTAAGGAATTTATATACGTGTCTTGTCTATATANATTTGAATTGAAGGGGTTATATTTTTTAGGAGTGATTAATTTTTGGGAAATAAAGTTTTTGGCTTTCTACTACTCCATCTTGATACATCTGTTTCAGGAGGACTTTCTTTCAGTTTGTGTCTGAAAGTTACTTCTTTGCATGATCTACACATCCATGTATAGAGTTACTTCCTTCCTTTCTTTGGAAGACTCCCTCATCCTTCATTTTTTGTATCAAGATGGAGTAATAGAAAGCCAAAAACTTTATTTCCCAAAAATCATAGATATGTTTTGCATATCCTGAAAGTGAAGTCCAACATTTTATAAGCTTTCGCTTCCATTTCATAAATATGGTTAGAAAAAGTGAGTTTGGAGTCAAATTTCATTCCTAGGTCTTTTATCTCATTGACACGTGTTAATTGATTACCAAGGATTTCATATATGTAAGATTGGTAGAGTTTTTCATCCGAGAGAAAGATATTGCAAAGATATTTGATAGAGATTCTCTAAGATTGCGGCCCATACCATTCATGTAAATATTCTTTGTAAGACATTTTTTGTGAATCTCAATATTTACTATTTTTTTTTGGTATGTACGCTTCCACAATATGAAAAATAGACAAAGACAATAGAGAATCTGCTTTGTTTATTATTCAGATTGAGGAAGGTTATAATACCCCAAAAACAGTAAGGAGTACTGCTAAACAGTTTCTACATAACGAATTAACATTCTCATTTGTTTTTTTTTATCAGATCAGTTGCCCAGCTAATTAACCATGTGAAGACAAACTGGTTTCTTCTTTTGGTAATACCGAAAATCCCTGGTTTTACTTTATATAAGCAAAGTCACTAAAGAACTATAACATTTTGAAATATCAGGATACATCTATTTCAACTTATTGAAGTGAATAATATCACTGTGAATCTTGACAATTCACTGAGGTAATATTGTAAACATTATTTATCTGCATACAGTATTGTTTTTTTTTTCAGTTTCCCTATACAAACTCTCCGAAGATTTTCAGTAACAGCATGAAATTCACTAGGGGCCAAGAGGAGAACGTGATCATAGCTAACGTTATCGATCCTCACCACATTTTTGTTCATATAGTGAGTTGTTATTTTTCTGCACAATTATTTTATTTAAACAACTTCATTCCAGGCCGCGTATGATGAATCGTTGAAAAAAATGACATCTTCACTGAAATCTGCCAACAAGAATTCTCAGAAGAATGCCTGTATTCCCATTGAAGGTATGCGTAATAATGAAATTTCTACGTGTGTTTGTTGCACGAGGGTCACCTTTTTGTTTTTACAAGAATCAGAGAAAATATTTTTTGGGAGAAACTGTTATTGTTTCTCAGAATATTTGCCTTTGAAATCTGTTAAAAAAAATAGTTTAAAAAAACTAAAAAACACGCTTTTAAAGAACATTGAACTAAAAAGTTGNCCTTCACGCCGTACTCGACATACAATTATGTTCAATATTTCTGTGTCAATATCTAGCACTAGATCACCTCTCGCAACCATGTTGATATTAGCTAATGAATTCAATGAAATAACGGATATTGATTGGTCTTTACCATATTCCAAATTCCGTAACACAATACTGAATAATATACTGAATATATCTTCGTGAAAATTAAATCTACCTAAATCTGTACCCCAACAGTTCTTATAGTAGGTACGTAATAAAAATATATTTCTTTTTTAAGTTGAATTTACATTGTAAATATTGTTAATAATAGGAATCCATGTAATAAAACTTAACAAGTTTGTATGGATCAAATAAATAAATAAATAAATTTGCTGTAATAACCCAAATTGAGGAACATTCCCCATTACTGTGGCATAGTGCATCAGAAGTTTTTGCCACATGGTCGTACAGTCAATAAGATTTATTATCCAAAGTTAGTTCCAAAGAGATGACTTTTAGTGTATAGCAACCTGATGCAAGCTTGCTGCTCAAGTTTATTGAGTGATCCTTAAGAAGCGTTTTACACACCATGGTACATATTCCTCAGTCTAGTAAGAGATTAATGGTTCTCAAATGTGAATAGCCTAGTTCTGAAGAGATGACGATTAGTGCATAGCAACCTAAGACGAGCTTCCTGCTTCAGTTTATTGTATGATACTTAAGAAGAAGTTGACAGACTATGCTATACATTCCTCAGTCGTGACAAATTTATGTTTCTCAAATGTGAATAGCCTAGTTTTGAAGAGATGGTGATTGATGCATGGCAACCTAAAGGCAAGCTTCCTGCTTCAGTTTATTGTGTGATCGCTAAGAAGAGGTTGACAGACTATGCTAAATATTTCTCGGTCGTGACAGATTAATGTTTCTTGAATGTGAATAGCCTAGTTTTGAAGAGATGGTGATTGATGCATGGCAACCTAAAGACAAGCTTCCTGCTTCAGTTTATTTTGTGATCGCTAAGAAGAGGTTAACTGATCATATTACATACTTCTCGCAAGCTTTTTGCTAAGTTTATTGTGTAATATTAAAGAAGAGGTTGACAGACCATGGAACATATTCCCCAGTCTAGTGAGAGATTAATGGTTCTCGAATGTGAATAGCCTATTTCTGAAGTGCATAGCAACAATTAGTGCATAGCAACAATTAGCGCGTAGCAACCTCATGCAAGCTTCCTGCTCAAGTTTATTGTGTGATTCTTAAGAAGCGTTTTACACACCATAGTACATATTCCTCAGTCTAGTGGGAGATTAATGGTTCTCGAATTTAAATAGCCTAGTTCTGAAGAGATGACGATTATTGCATAGCAACCTAAGGCAAGCTTTCTGCTTCACTTTATTGTGTGCTCTTTAAGAAGAGGTTGACAGACCATGGTATATATTCCTCACTCGTGAGAGATTAACGTTTCTCGAATGTGAATAGCCTAGTTCTGAAGAGATGACGTTTATTGCATAGCAACCTAAGGCAAGCTTCCTGCTTCAGTTTATTGTTTGATGCCTAAGAAGAGGTTGACTGATCATG